AGTGGTTTGGGCTGTGCGTTGATAGATCAGATAGTCAGTCACCTTTGAGTTACATATATTTAGATATTATACATATATACAAATAAATATATACATATATACCAAATAGTCTGACATTAATATTCTTGTTCTAGTGTCATATTTTTTATTATTTCTATATAAAACTTGCTATTTACAATTACTATTAACTTGAAATCTTACCACATGATTATTTAACGATCTCTATAGTCACACAGTTTAGCACACTGCCTTACTTTCTGGTAGTCGTGAATTTAATCGCGTATCATCAGTATCCGGCAGAAGTTGGCCTTCAGCAGCTTCATAAGTCTTTTCCCGGGTTAGGAGTGACCTCTGCACTTAGACCCCATTTTTATCCGGTGATGTTGTAAAGGCCAGGTAAGGTTAGCATTGTTAGAATAGTTGGAACATATATACATGTAGGTATATTAATATGTTGACTCTATTTGTTATATTCTTTATTAGTTCTTCTCATCTCGAAATCATTCCGAACTGCCGGTAGATTTGACATATCATAAGAGTCTGTAATAGACCTACATGAATAAAGATATTTTGAATTTGAATTTGAATATATTTTAAAAGAATTTTTATAATACTCATAATGGGGTGAAATCACATAGCGCCATCTATTCCCAAGGTAAGCTTAGGTACTAGATGACTGAACGAAATGTTTAAAAACATATTTTTTTTAAAAACATACATAGAAAAAACCCAAACCATTACATACAATATATGTAAATATATCTCTGAATACAAGCGTCTGTATTTTTTTTTTATGGATGATAATGGAATGGTGAAAAAAGATGGATGGATTGTGTGAAAGATGATATGAATAAAAGGAGAGTATGCTCAGATATGACGGCCGATAGAGAGCAGTGGAAGAGAATGACATACTGCGCCGACCACAGATAAAGGGATAAAGGCAAGGCAATGAATAAATGATGATGGAATGGTGAACCTGCCTGCGTTGACGGTTTACGCCGGCGGGCACCAGTGGGGGATGATAAGATGAGCATAAGTCAGGACAGTTAGCCCATCGTGACAAATTCACCAGGAATTTATCACGATGGTTTCCGTGGAAGTCAACCTGACGTGGTACATTGCTAGTAATGGGGTCATGAGCCCACATTACTAACAATCCCCTTCCCCCCAGTCTGTATTGTTTGACGAATCGAACACACGTCCATCGGAAGTAAGGTTAAAACTCTAGATGACCGAGGGCGAAGTTCTACACAGTTTGTGTTTAGATGGCGCTGGGTGTACAACTATTTTATTTAGTACTTACTACTATAAATTAATTAAATCTATTATCTATTTAATTATGTATTTATATACGCGCAAGATTTATTCATAACAGGGTCACTGTGATAAACCTTGGTGTATACAAATCTGAGTTGGAAATTGATGGTTTTATATCACGTTATTTCAATTATCGTTAAGAACAGTTATAATATTGACAATTGTAATAATCGAGTATTCGAGACCTGAGAATGTATGATTCTGAGTTTGACTGCTAGGTATACTTGGTCCCGTACCAGGTACGCTCTGTAAGTTCTTATCTAATGTAATCGTACCTGACATTATTGTATATATTAATTATATATGTAATAAATTATTTTCCATTTATAAACCTTTTTTAATTATTATAAAAAGTATATGCAGTAGTTAATAAAATACTTTCAAAGATGATTTATGAATCTGTTGAAGATGAGTGGACAATGCAAGGACGTCGTGATCGTTTTATCTTGTATTTACTATACTTCTGTCGTAATACTTGAGATCTAACGAGGCGCTGTATATTATGTACGTTATAAACAACAGTTATTAAAGATAGAAAATAATTTTGGTATGTTGGTGGTTTGGCAAATAAACTGATGGCCATCAAGATTGTAAGTTGCACTCGTCGCCTGTGTACATGAACCGTACCCTTCGATCGATCCCCCGTTCAATTCAAACTGGGATCAAAATGACAGCAACCTGAGCCGAGGTTCAAACCCCTAACGCTGCACTCAGACTAAAATCGTATTCGCCAGGCAAGAGTTGCTCTTCAGCCGCTTCATGAGTCTTTCTGCGGGTTTGGAGTACCATCTGCACTCGCCCCCTATATTTGGTGAAGCTGTAAAGGCCAGCTGCGGCCAACACCCTTAAGAATAGTTCGAAAAAAGGATATTATGTCGTCATATGACCCGTAAAGTCAATTATAGAAGATGAGCAAGGCTTCTATATTATGTTTCACATAAATACATCTATTTGGATGAAAGTTTACACTACAATCTTACTTTAAATAGTTTTTTTAGGAAGATTATGTATAATTTGACGTGACAAAGGGCCAAGGAAAAGGTTAAAAGCCTAGCCTATAAATGGCAAAATCTAAATTCACCTAATTTAAATTTCCTGCTGCACTCAGATGCAGGCGGACGCCGTGCATTTATAAATTATTTCGAAATAGTCTCTGAGGCCTTATAAATCTTAGCACTCGTCACCTAGTTTACTGGGATAATCCTTCTATTACGCTCATCAGTCACGTACTGTCTTGTCTCTGTTGTTTACAATCTTACATAATTATGTATTGGCTTTTGGAAGTTCGGTTGTCTATCGATTTATGACTTGACGCAAAAAAAATTATAGAATTATAGAAGTGCGAATGCCAGCTTTTATGTGAAATCTTGAGAAATTTATCAAGTTTTCACACAAATACTAGTTCTCGCAAAAAAAATGTCTACTAGTCACATTCAATATGTCTTCCTTTTAAAGTCGGTTAACGTCGTTCCTGAATATTGATTATGTAATGAAGGTGCCGTATTGTTTTACCTCTGACCTTACCAAGAAACAATGCGCAATGGAAGCCTAGCCTCCGTCTCGTTTCAACAAACAGCTGGCGAATTTTAGCCATTTTAATTGAACTAATAAATTATTTATTAAAATTATAATCGCCATTCGAGTCATGATTCCTCTTACACCGTTGAACGTGAGTTAAATTTTACTTTTATCTGGTGAGCGCTAGGCTTACAAATTTTTAATCGATATGCGATGCAAAATGATCCGAAATCAATTTCTCCTTTGTACGAATTCGAAAGAAGAAAATGCCAATTATGTTTTTATAGATTTATTATGTCCTTTCTTTATCTATTTAGTTCTGATACAAGAAAGTGGCAACAAACTGTAATAGTTTTTATTTGTACGTTTTTTAAATATCTCATGACATTAGCTAAATTGGGGAGGTAATCAGAAGTGGCTTAGGGCGTTCAGTGCAGCAAACATTTAGAAATTTTGGTGGCATAAGCGTTCCTTCCCTTAATCTGCTATAAAACATACGAGTACTTCTTTCTCTTTTGAAGGCCTCATCGGTTTAGCACAACGCTTTACTTTCTATGGTGGCAGTTTCGATTCCTCGAACTGTACAAACATTTGTATTCAGAAATATGATTGTTTGTATCGGTCTGGGTGTTTCTATGTATATTCTGTATTTATTTACAAAAATACAATATTTATATCAGTTGTCTAGTACCCGTAACACAAGCTCTGTTTACCTTGGGACTAAATGACGTTGAGTGAATTGACCAGGGATATTATTACTATTCTTTATTTAGAAGGAATACTAATATACCTTCAATTAGTATTAATCTAGCAGTAATAGGCACTATTGTCACCATTTCTGGCAATGCATTGTGACAGGAAAACCTCAAGGAAATCATCTTTGTGTATTTCTTGGGAATAGCGACATAGGGTCGATTTCGTCCTGTCATCATTGACTGGTGCCATTGCTGCATGAGCAATCATTATTTCTTCAATCGTCCATAATATTATGTAATCTAGTTCATTCAATTCTCTATAGTATAAGCTTTAGTCTCTTGCGAGTTGTGTAATTTTGTATTCGCACAACACGTTTACAGAACAAAGCACCAATTGTTTTTAATCAATACCATAATTGTAGTACATTATACAATTATGGTATTGATTAAAAACAATTGGTTTCGCAATAATCTTTTAGGTTTATACCTATCAAAGCCTGTAGTAATTAGCTAAAGTACTCGTGTCACCAGATTCATGAACAGGACTATGAAACATGTTTAAATGATCAACTATCTCCGGAAATTTTAAAGGATTGTTTACAATGACTCCCATAAAAGCAGCGCAAATACCAATCGCAAAAAATACGATTCAATTATGAGCAATTGTATTTGTATTTCAAAGGTTCTTGTTTTTTCATTGGGGTCTTTCATTTTATGTTCTTGTTTGTCTGCTTTTCTTTTTATTGGGTTTTTAAAATGTTTGTTACTGTTTTCAATTTGTTGTTTGTATTTATTTTACACTCTTTACACCGAGTACCATTACTGTTTCACTTTAAACGGTGAGCTTTGGTAGCAAAAATATGAACTGTGGTATACTTATCTACGCATAACCCGTGGCGCCTCTTATATGGGTCACGTCACACTGTCTCTTGTACTGCGAATTTGTCATTTCCATGGTGTCTATCATGTTTGGCAATTACTACATTCCATCGGAATGTTTGTTTGTTACGCGTTCATGCCATAACGGCTTGATCATATTTAATACTGCATGTAAGAGGTTGAAATTTCGCACACTTACAGTCTACTAACTACTCGCCCCCTGCACAAGAAATATCTGCAGATTTTGCCAAACTGAAGAGGAAATACCATTACACATCCTATGTGATTGTAGTCCACTCATGCATAAACGTAATGTCTCCTTTGGAAAGTTTATACTCTATCCTGAGGAGATAAAAACCATCGCTCCTAAGAATATCCTTCAATTCTTGTCCCTGACTAGGTAGCGAACTTTGTAAAAGGGTGAGCGCAATAGATCTATGTATGGTCCAAGCACCTAATAATAGCTGAAAAACCCCAATAAAAAAATATACTCACCCCGGCTTCGCACGAGTGTATATGTATTATGTTTTGTGAAAAAGGAGTCTAAGTTTTTGCTACACGTCTTAATATTAATTAATTAATTTGCTACAGAATGCAGGTGGCGGTCCGTATACTGGGCATGTTCCTGCGGCTCCTCAACTTGGTGCTGGCACCAGTTTTCTGGCTGCGTGCTCGGCACAAGCGGCCGCTTCCACCAGCACCGCAGCCGCTGCTCTTGCGAAGTGCAACCAGTCTTGCAGCCGCAGTCAGACAGGGCGAGGTGGGTGATACTATTTTCATATGGTTGACTAGTGCCGGCTGCTTTGTCCATAAGTACATTGTAAATACCATCTATTGACATTTATACCAGACATATATTATTTTATTAATAAAATAAATAAAATCAGTAGTTGGTAAATTTCAAATTAAAAAAACACTATTATATTCCTTAGAAATACACACTATTGTTTAAAGAGTGTTTCTTCAACAAGTAGATTAGTGAAATTTTCACAGAATATATTCTGTTAAAATTTCATTCTAATTTTACGTAATTTGACACACATACAGACAGTTGTCGTCTTGTTCCATTATACAATTTTATTGTGCACATTATATGTATGGAAAGATAATAAATAAGATGAAAGTATAATGCTTCAATTTTCTCTAACATTGTATACTGGCTAATGAATGTATACGCTGACGCGGCACCAGTGAAAGATTGTCAGTCAGCTCAGTTAAGCAACCGGGACGACATCACCAGAAAGTAACCACTATAGTTTACAGGAAGAACCACGAATGACCTAACATTGCTAGCCACTAATTACTATTTCAACCAAACATCTCCCCCCGGGCAATAGTTTGTACCAAAGACCAAATAGAATATTTATCTATGAGAGCATCGATATTACGACTTGGATGATGGAGCTATGCAAGAGCATGAGTCTATGGCGTCATTGGTGAAATGGATGTAGGTACTATGATGAAATTATGAGCAAACATACATACGTTTACCCATAATGTTTACTCTCGTCGTGGTTTGTTTTCGTAAGGGACATCACTAGCGGAACTCGTATGTGAGTTACGTCACTATTACGTTTTACTATCATTATTACTAGCTGATTCAGCAAACGTTGTTTTGCCATATAAGTTAAAATCGCTATTAAAATGTGGTAAGGGTGAAAATTTAGGGTTGTATATATTTTTTAATGCCATATTATAAGAGAAACTGGCTATAAATTGAAGATTCAATTTAGAAGTGGATAACCCTTACCCTTAGGGGTGTGAAAAATAGATACTAGCCTATTCTCAGACCTACTAAATATGCATATGAAATTTCATAAAAATTGTTCGTTCCTACTGAATATGCCTAAATTTCATAAAAATCTGTCAAGCCGTGTTAGAGGAGAATGGTAACTAACATTGTGACATGAGAATATTATATATATAAGATTCTTTTCACTTTTTCTTGTAACTTTTGGTTCTATTTATATAAATCAAAAGTTGTCAGTTAATATGCTAACACTGTGGTACTGTTAAATGTTATATTAATGTTGATTTACACTAATAATTTTATTTGCCTAATATTATAACTGGTAAAGTGAGATTGTTACACTTTCACGCCTAAGGGTTAACTAACGTCATGTCATAAAATAGACCTTATCCATATCATCATATAGACTATTTTTCATCATGGTCATGTGGACGAAGTCGCAAGCAGAAACTAGTGCTCCATATTAACTGCAAGCTTTAATTATGGCATCGTAAATTATTTAGCCTCATTGGATAACATTAATTTGTTATTGGTACTTAATTTAATTACCAATATTCCTTGCGTTGCATATTACCTACTTAATACTTTACTATCATAATCCATTACACAGTGTAATAACGTCTTTTCCAAATAGTTGATACAAATAATACTGGCAAGTTAGTATGCAGAAGCCATATTAAGAAAAAAGAATTATAATTTGAAATTGGAATTGCGCGCGTTTATTTTGTTTCGTTTTTTTTTTTCAAAGCTATCATGCAATAAAAATCAGAAGGACTACTTTAAGTAAGACGTTATGAGTAAGTTTTTTATATGTATGATAAAATCTGATGGACTGTATTAGGATATGTCTTGGTAGGGGTTTATTAGTAACGTGTTTTTTTGTTTGCACGGCGTTTATTTTAGAAGAGCAATGGTACAGTAAAAAGGAAATGAATTGACCAATGTTACCCGTAATACAAAAGTGTTGCCAACAAGTATTCACAAATTTACCTAAGTACTATATTTACCTACTATATTATAAATATTTTATATGCTTAACAATGTAACTGAAATTTTAGTTTTTAGTAGGTAGATATTCAAATCTAAATCATTTATGCATGTAGGATATTTTAGCCGCTTATGAACGTCAAATTTATATTATAATTTTTTTCCTAGCGACCGATAATTCTTATATAATGAGATATAGACTACATAATGGACAAATCTGAAACTTCTCTTTATAGATCAAGAGCGAAGAGCTTGTCTTTGCGTACATAGACCACATAAAGGCGGTGAATCCATTCTTGAACGCAATAGTCGAGGAGCGTTACCGGGCAGCAGTGGATGACGCGAGGGCCGTCGACCGTAAAATAGAAGAAGCAAAGAAGAATGGAACATTCGAGACGCTCGCAGCAGAGAAACCCCTGCTTGGTGTACCGTTTACCGTTAAGGAAAGCTGTTCTCTTGCTGGTGAGTGAATGGAAATTTAACTTTCTCAATAGTTATATTAAAACTGTTGTGTTTGTTTAATATATTATTTAGATAGATACAGGGGCGGATCTGCCTAAGGGTTTTTTGGGCTGCAGCCCAGGGCCCGAGGATACGAAGGACCTCCAGTCCCCACTACTATATCTAGAATGTTAAAGAACCTATCATAAGGTTGGCAACCCTGAGATTAATCAACCCATGCAAGTGCGCGTCTATTGAAAGGAACGGGGAATTTCTGGTCGCTTGTCTTTTGTCGATGTATTTTTTTAGTTGAGTAATATAATTAGGTGGGCCTCTAAGTAGATTTAGCCCAGAGCCCCATAAATTCACGATCCGCCCCTGGATAGATAAATAGATAGATAAAAAGCTTTTTTTTCCAATTTTTACATTATTTACAATGCTGTCCTGCAAAATTCCTATCGGGGTTCGTCTGCAGGCACATTTATATTGTTAACCGGATCTTAACACAAATATTTTTTAATTTTTAACACGTTAGATTACAGTATCTTATATTATGAAATTTTCATACGGATCCCCAACGTTTTTGGAAATAGTCTATGGTTATCAGCATAATGTTAGGATTCTAATGGTATATTTTTTTTTCAAATCGGTCCACTAGTCGATATTTATTCAATGCAAACAAGCAAATACGAGTATATCCTGTTTTTCTTATATACCAACATATGCATTAATAATAATATGCATTCGCCCCACGTGATGGTAAACGGTTACCGTAGCCTATGGACGCCTGATACACCAGTTGCCGTTGCGATGTCGATAATGTAGATTTATAAGAGTACTGTCTACGCACCCAACGCACCGCTACCGCGAGCTGCGGTGCGGTGTTGCGCATCGGCAACTACGGCCGATGACTTATTGCCCGCCCGGCACCGACACTTCGTACTAAATCATCCCACCATTCTAACTATAATGTGCATCTATCTGTATTCCATAACAGTTTTTATATTATATCTATTAACACAGTCCACTAGTTTTATTGGCTATCCAGGACTAAACAAGAACAGATACTATTTTACAAGTCTCGCCGAGCAACGACAAAGTCATAAAAGTTGAAGAAGACATCGTTAAAAATAGAACATCATAAAGTTTTATACAAGTCAATAGAAATGATACATTATGACAAAGAATATAAGGTATAATTGGCTTCGCAACGCTGCGCTCCCGAGAAACTTGAGCAAACATTCATTAAAATTTCAAATGCTAAAATGATTCGTACTCTAGCACAAGTTTAGTACCTACAGCTTACTGTAGGTTGCAGTTTGTTGATAAAGCACTTTGAAATAAACTATTTTAGAATTTGTTGTCTAAATAACTACTTGTGAAGGGTAGACTTTATATAAAGTCGTCTGCGTCCAATTCAAACGATGATCATAATTACGACGGACTGAGCCGAGGTTCGAACCCCTAGCAGTGCCCTCAGACTAAAGTCGTATCCGTCAGGCGGGAGTTGGCCTCAGCCGCTCCATAAGTCCTTCCGCAGTTTGGAGTGCACTCGCTCTTCTATTTTATTTTTGATCTAATTCATGCTTTAGATGAAAGATAAGACCGAAGTGATAAAAAAAGGAAATTGTAATATAACTATTTAATACTTAGGCTCTAATTTTTTATTACTATCTAATTATTTTTCAAAACTAAGGTTTACGACCAATGTGTATTGCCAGTGATGATTTACGGCATAAAGACGTGGTCGCTAACTATGGGCCTTATGAACAAGCTCAGAGTCGCTCAGAGGACAATGGAGAGGGCTATGCTCGGAGTTTCTTTGCGTGATCGAATCATAAATGAGTAGATCCGCAGAAGAACCTGAGTGACCGATATAGCCCGAAGAATTGCGACACTGCAGTGGCAATGGGCGGGGCACATAGCTCGTAGGACAGATGGCCGTTGGGGCAATAAAGTCCCCGAGTGGCGACCACGGACCGGAAGACGCAACGTGGGAAGGCCTCCAGCAAGGTGGACCGACGGTTTGGTCAAGATCGCTGTGAAGTATGTGCCAGAAGGCATTGGATGCGAGCAGCGCAGGACCGATCGTCGTAGAGATCTTTGGGGGAGGCCTATGTCCAGCAGTGGACGTCTTCCGGACAGCGATGATGATGATTTATTTTTGTAACTATTAATAATACTAATCTCAGGACAATTCTCAGCGCCATCTAGACCCAAGTGAAGCTAACTAAAGCTTGTGTTATGTAGGTGTATGTGGGTACTAGATAACTGATATAAATACATAGATTTTTTTTTCGTAAATACATATAAAACATTATACGTAGACCCAGACCGATACAAACAATTATAATGATGAATGCACGTGCTTGTCCTGTGCGAGGAAACAAACTCGCGACCATCGGAAGTAAGGCGGTGCGCTAAACCACTAGACCACTGAGGCTGTCAAATTAGTCAATTAATACTTTAGTTACTTGTTTATTTTTTTTTTATTAATAAAACTATGCAACTTATTATTTTTCTACCTATAGCTTATTCTATACAAACTTAGTTATTTTACTTTTTTAATTATACCTTTTTCTTATTAACAAAACCATGTAACTTATTATTTTTCAACTTAATTAAGTAGAATAAGATTATTACAGGTGTGTACAAATTACTCAAAAACTATTTTTCTTTGACGCCGGGTAATTACACGCATTAATCGACCGATTGTTTGCAAATTGATTGAATATCCAATGAGGGTAATTATGAATGTTGTCAGTTACTGAAGGCTAACGGAATTATCACTATGGATATATAGAGTCACTGAAATATGTGTTATCATATCAAATAGCCTTGTTAATCATACTCAATGGGTATATAACCACGTTCAACACGCTGGTTTCTTGATCATTCTACTATTCTAAAAATAAGGACAACCTTATTTTTACATTTTTCTATTGAAAACATATAGAAACATGTTTTCAATCGTTACTAAACCTATTAGAAAAGTATACTAAAAGAAGAATATCCTGCTTCAAAATTTACTTTTTTCCAATATGGTGTTTGCAAAACGATGGTGGAAATTTTTCTGGCCGCTCTTATTGTACGGCAACAGTTCAAACTTTAATGCCATTATTTAATAATTCTAATCATTGGCCGTAATGGGTTAAGTTTATTTGAATAAAGATTATTTCTATTCTATTCTATTCTATTCTATTCTATTCTATTCTATTCTATTCTATTCTATTCTATTCTATTCTATCCTATCCTATCCTATCCTATCCTATCCTATCCTATTCTATTCTATTCTGTTTAATTCTAATCTATTTTATATTACTTGCAGGTATGTCAAACGCCGTGGGCTGCCTAGAAAATGCTGGCCGTAAAGCCACCAAGGACGGCGAAGCTGTAAGACTGGTGAAGGAAGCCGGCGCCATTCCCCTGCTGGTCTCCAACACTCCTGAGCTGTGTCTCGGATGGGAAACAACGAATTTACTACGCGGGACCACCAACAACCCTTACTGCTTGAACAGAACGCCCGGGGGATCGTCCGGGGGTGAGGTTAGTAATAATATTAATCAATTCATTTGTAAAACGAGACAAAGTCTATCAAAAGGCACATACTAAAAAGTATATAAAAAAAAAAAATAACGAATCCACTCAATGGCAGCTAGTCCCGAGGTAAGCAAAGGTTGTGTTCAGGCAGGAGTTGCCTGAACCACCAGCCTTCTGCCGTTCCATAAGTCCTTCCGCGCGTTTGGATTGTCATCTGCACTTGCCCCATATCGTCCGGTGAAATTATAAAGACCAGCTGCAGAGTTTCCTCTCTGCCACACGATGATAATCCATGGAATGCTTAGAAACCGAAAAGTAAGAAAAGAAAAGGAAAGTAAGAATAATTGCTACATGTAATTTGATACAATTATACTCACGAATACAAATGTTTGTGCCATGCAAGGAATCGAACCCGCAACCATCGGATGTAAGACGGTGCGCTATACCGCTAGACCGCTAGAGAACGTTATAGTTCATCTCATTATATGTATATTTATAACTATAATCCTGTTTAGTTGGGTAAATAACAGAGTCACGTCATTACGTTGTCTATGGTTACCTTTGGAGTCTTATTTCTTTTACGTTGTAGTCATTACCCATTTGCCGAGATCAATACTCTCGCTGTATACTCAATGATGTGCTAACGAAGTATGTACTCTGATTTTAACATTACGTAAGCGCAAGTGTAGCGAGTGGCATCTGTAAATAAGTATGTGGGTTCATGACTGATATGACCATGCGTCCTGGTTTGGATGGGACAATCCCGTTTTTGTAGGGAAGGGGATTGTGTCATGTGGACTAATGTGGATAAATTCCTGGTGAATTTACCACGATGGGCTAACTGACCTGATTTCATGATCATTTTAGCATCCTCTGATAACCCGCCAGCGTAAACAGTTAGCGCAGGCGTGTGCACCATTCCATTAACATCCATAAAAGTCACGTTTTAGGGGGTAAGGAATTGTTAGCAATGGTGAACCCCTGGGCTTATTAGGAGACATTTATACTTCCGTGACATGTTAAGAGGGGTTCAAAAGTGTCATTGTGACAGGGGTGTAAGGTACACAAAATTCGTTTAATAAAATCCAATGTGCAAATCAAACGGAGATTGAAATTATGACGGCCTAAGTCGAAGGTCTAAGCGGTGCCCTCAGACTAACAACACGTAATATAAGCACTTTTGAGTAGTATTTTTTTATTCTACCACTCATTCGGAACACTGACTCATCATAAGAAGAATATGTGAAGTATATAATTTAGTGGTAACTTTACATTTTTAAATTAAAATGTATATACCAACTAGCACTAAGTTGCAAAGTTTAAATAAATAAATAATGAAAATATCGTACTCAGGCACTTGTTATTTATTTGTCCCATTTAACATAACAAATGTATGGTCACATTATTCATGACATAGTGTGAAATGTAATTATCACTTGTACAACGTTTAATATGTTGAGACGAATGTGCGAAACAAGGCAGGAAAAAGAACTAAAACTTGTACGCATTTGTGTTTTTTACGTAATTGGAATGTCAAACATTTGGCCACCTGGTGGTAAGTGGTACCAGTCGCCTATATATGTACATATTAACAGCACTACGGGCATCATGTTATCATGTGATACCACTCAGGCGCTGGCATTCCAGAAAACTGGGATGTCATGCGTCTTATACATTAACTAGTTGTTCCCGCGACTTCGTCCGCGTGGAATTTAAGTTTATTTTTCTAAAATAAAAGTAGCCTAAAGAACTAAAGATTATTTTGTTAGTTCAAACTAATACATTTACATCCTCCATCATCCCTTATTTTATCCCCATGGGGGTTAAAATTATCAAAATCCTATTTAAGCGAACGTGTTCATCATAGTAGCTCCAATCTTTAATTTCAATTCAATCAGTCGAAAATCTAAGAACATTTATACAAACTTTCATCCCCTATTTTATCCTCTTAGAGGTGGAATTTATCAAAAACCTTTCTTAGGGGATACCTACGTCACAGTAGCTTTATTCATGCAAAGCCGGATCGGTTTAAAATTGTCAAAGTTTCGTCCCCTATTTTATCCCCTTGGGGGTAGAATTAATCAAAATCCTCTTCTTAGCGGATGCCTACGTCGTAACATCTACTTGCATGCCAAATTTCAGCCCAATCTGTCCAGTGGTTTAGGCTGTGCGTTGATAGATCACTATGTCAATCACCTTCGAGTTATATATATTTAGATATATACACCCTATAGCAATAAACACAGCTAGTAATTTGCTTAGCAGCTGAAATGAAATATTTTCAGATTCTCCTGTGTGGCTCTGGTTTTCTAAAACGAATCTGTTACTTTTTTTTTTTTTTTTCTCTTTATTTTTTTTTTTTTTGGGATTTTTGTGCACATAATGTGACGATGACAATCCCATCGTACCTATACTAAATAACAAAAATAAACTAAAAAACTTAATCTAGTATGATACCATCCAGAACAATAACTTGGCTGCATCGGAAGCTGGTTCTGCCAAGAATCTGTTACTTGTGACAGTCTGAATGGCGTAGTGTGTTTTTATATTAATTCAACAAGTGTATAGTTAGGATTGGTGTTTGTTTAATAAGTAAAATAAGACCGTTGGTCCCAGGGAGCGTTGCTGGCGTGCGGCGCGTCCCCGGTGTCGGTGTCGTCGGACATCGCGGGCTCCATCCGGCTGCCGGCTGCCTTCTGTGGCGTCTACGGACACAAGCCCACGCCTGGTCAGACACTTACACCATTTTACTTATATATATAACTAGCTACTTGCACTGGTTTCGCCCTGTATTACATGTACCTGTATTATACATATGAACCTTCCTCTTGATCACTCTATCTATTAAAAACCATATCAAAATCCGATGCGTAGTTTTAAAGATTTAAGCATACGTAGAGACGCACAGACAGCGACAGCGACTTTGATTTATACTATGTAATGATTACAGGTATAATATCAATAGAAGGTCACGTGCCAACGCTGAGTGATGAGAAGTATCCGCTGTTCTTAACTGTGGGCCCGATGACGCGGAAGGCCGAAGACCTACCCCTCATGATGAAGATCATGGCCGGAGAGAATAGACAGAAGCTGCAGTTGGATCGACCGGTCGACATGAAAGATATAACAGTAAGTTTACTGAGGAATTACTTTTATCATATAATAATAAATAAATAATCCTGGACAATTAGCACAGCGTCATCTAGTCACACGGTAAGCAGAGTTTATTTTGAATTTGAATAATACTCAAGCACACAAGGTTTTCTGCCGAGGTTTTCTCGCAAGACTACAGCATGAGGTTTTTCAAGAAGGGTATATTAAAGTTTCTTAGGCGTCGGCAATACGCACGTGACACCCTTGATGTTTCAGGCGTTCTGTAGCTTAGGCTACTGTAACCGTTTATCATCAGATGGGCCGTGTACTTGTTTGCCACCATAGTACTATAAAAAAATACAAATGTTTGTACCGGACAAGGAATCGAATTCGCAACCACCAGTGTGAATCGATGTGTTAAACCGCTAAACTACTGTAGAAGATAATCCCTCTCAAGCTCTATTGATTTGGATACAATTTGCTTAACAGGTGTTCTACATGACAGAAGCGACGAATTCACCAGCTCTCCTCCCCGTAGATGACAGCATCCGTGATACGATAATAAGTGCTGTTCGATATCTGGAGACAGGGTGTGGCTGCAAAGTGAGCGAGGTGAGTGGTTTTTGTTTATGGTTGCTAAATATGATGGTGAGAGAGTGTAGCTGCAAAGTGAGCGAGGTGAGTGGTATTTGTTTATGGTTGCTAATGGGATAGTTAGGGAGTATAGCTACAAAGTGAGATAGTGTAGCTGCAAAGTGAGCGAGGTGAGTGGTATTTGTTTATGGTTGCTAATGGAATACTGAGAGAGTGTAGCTGCAAAGTGAGTGAGATGAGTGGTTTTGTTTATGGTTACTAATGTGATGGCGAGAGAGTGTAGCTGCAAAGTGAGCGAGGTGAGTGGTTTTTGTTTATGGTTGCTAATGGGATAGTTAGGGAGTATAGCTACAAAGTGAGATAGTGTAGCTGCAAAGTGAGCGAGGTGAGTGGTTTTTGTTTATGGTTGCTAATGGGATAGTTAGGGAGTATAGCTACAAAGTGAGATAGTGTAGCTGCAAAGTAAGCGAGGTGAGTGGTTTTTGTTTATGGTTGCTAATGGGATAGTTAGGGAGTATAGCTACAAAGTAAGATAGTGTAGCTACAAAGTGAGCGAGGTGAGTAGTATTTGTTTATGGTTGCTAATGGAATACTGAGAGAGTGTAGCTGCAAAGTGAGAGAATGTAGCTGCAAAGTGAGTGAGATGAGTGGTTTTGTTTATAGTTACTAATGTGATGGCGAGAGAGTGTAGCTGCAAAGTGAGCGAAGTGAGTGATTTTTGTTTTGTGGTTGCTAATGGGACAGTGAGAAAGAGTAGCTGCAAAGTGAGCGAGGTGACTGGTTTTTGTTTATGGTTGCTAATGTTGTGTTCCCGCGTGCCAAAAAAGTATATGTTGGCGGGACACCAGTGGAGGATGTAGCCTGGTCAGTTAGCTTAACGTGTCACATTTACCAGTAATTCATCCATATTCATTTCCATGGAGAACCACATGCAGGTCAAACTACTTTGTTAGTCTGATCCCATTGACGGCATCGTGAAAAATCTGTCCTGGCTGGTGCTGTGTTTATATTTATTTATTTTTAATTCAGAGAAAAAGTCGGATCGAGGGCGTAGAGTCATATATATTTTTGTATCCTCATATTTCCTCGTGTATTACTGTAGTAAGCAGTTTTTTTAAATAGATGATTTAACTTTCAGAAAAAGTTCAAAGAGTTGGAGAACTCTGTGGAGATATCGGCGTCGGTTTTCTTCTCCATGAAGGACATACCTAACATGCTGCAGGACCCCGCCGACCCGAAAGTAAGTGGTGATACTACTGTTGTGTTTACAGCGACTCGCCCCTCCGATCGATCCCCCGTCTAATTCAAACGGGGATCGAAATTACGACGGCCTGAGCCGAGGTTCGAACCCCTAGTGGTGCCCTCAGACTAAAGTCGTATCCGTCAGGCGGGAGTTGGCCTTCAGCCGCTCCATAAGTCCTTCCACGGGTTTATAGTGCCGTCTGAACTCACCCCCTATCGTCTGTAAGGCCATCTGCGGCCGACAGCATTAGAGTAGTCCGAAAAAAATTGAATTTAGTATTGTTGTTGTTAAGAAATGAAATGGAATGTGATGAAATCAAGAATAAATTCTATATTCACTTATCATCATCATCATCTCCATCATTAAGTACAAAGGGGAAAATAAATAAATGACTTACCGATCCTGTAGTAATTAGTAACATATATATATACATATATATGTGAAGGATGGAGACCAAGACGACGAGCAAATAAAATGGCAGCGGTATAGTCGTAGAATATTGTGTAATAATGACTTATGTCTTATAAAAAACATAGATAATAAAAAAGGTATAAAATATAATTCGCAACAATATATGATACAATAATAGCAAAAGAATGTAATAAAATATATATAGTTTAAAAAAAGAAACAGCTTATAGCTGTTTCTGTTAAAGAGGTTTGTCGAAATCAAAAAATATGTTTATTTATTTATTTATTTATTTATTATATTATACTAGCTACTCGCTTCGGCTTCGCCCGAGTGTACGTGTATTATACATATAAACCTTCCTCTTAAATCACTCTATCTATTAAAAAACCGCTTCAAAATCCGTTGCGTAGTTTTAAAGATTTAAGCTTACATGGGGACGGACAGACAGCGACAGCGACTTATGAAGTTAGATAATACCGTATTATCTGTATATTTACAGCGTGACAAAAGCCTGGCACTGGAATTATTAAAGTATTTATTCGGCGGCGCCTCTCGCTCGTTGCAAGCGCTCGGGTTTGCGCTAATAAACCGAACGAAACTGTTCATACCAGAGTCGAGGAACGCTTACTACAGCCAGAAGGCGCAGAAACTCAAGGAAGAGTTCCAGGTATGTTATGAACGGTTTTTTAAAAATGTATTATATAGTTATATAATAATAATAACCCTGGACAGTGGACAATTCACACAGCGCCATCTAGTTCTAAACTAAGGAGAGCTTGTGTTATGGATACCAGACAACTGATAAACATACTTAAATACTTTTTTTGTATATGAATCACATAGAAAATACCCAGACGAACAATAATACTCACGAATATAAATGTTTGTACAGTGCGAGGAATCGAATCCGCGACCATCAGTGTGCGGCATCATAAAGCGGTGTGCTAAACCGCTAGACCACTAAGGCCACTAACATTGCACATAATAATAATTGAATTGCTATTAAGTAGTTCCAGAAAGTTCTGTTCGACACATGCTAGGCTAAAACTCGCCACCATCGGCAGGAAGGCGGTGTGCTAAACCACTAAACCACCGAGGCCGGTAACATTGTACATAATATAATAATTGAATTGTTATTGAGTAGTTCTAGAAAGTTCTGTGCGACACGTGCGAGGTATCGAACCCGCTACTATTGGAAGAAAGGCGATGTCCTAAAACCGCTAGACCACCGAAGCCGTCAATAATAATTAATATGTGTATTATAATTGATTAATTCTAGAAAGTTCTGTGCGACACGGGCGTGTTTCTATACCCGGTGTTCAACGGGCCGGCTCATCGTCACAACGAGGTGTTCCTGAAGGCCTCCGGAGTTATGTACTCGATGGTCTTCAACATCCTCGGCATGCCGGCCACCACAGTGCCCCTCGGTTTCCATAACGGTCTACCAATCGCTATACAGGTATATTTCTTCTCAGTACCATTCATACAGCGCCATCTAGTCCCAAAGTAAGCAGAGCTTGTGTATGGATAACTGATATAAATATAAATAATACTTTTTTTGTAATAATATACTTAATATACACATACAACTAAATGCTCGTCCGGTGAAGCTGTAAAGGCCAGCTGCGGCCAACTACATTAAAGTGGTCTGAAAAAAACAACTAAATGTAGAAAAATATCCAGACTGATTCAAGCAATCATACTGGTGAATTGGAAGAATCGAATCCACGACTATCATTCATATTTATTCTTATTAATCTTACTAATATAATAATACTAGCTGTCCCGGCGGTGTTGCCTTAAAATAAAAAAAAAATACCGCTAACATTTAGGGGGATGAAAAATAGATGTTGGCCGATTCTCAGACCTACTCAATACGCTCACAAAATTTCATGAGAATCAATCAAGCCGTTTCGGAGGAGTATGGGAACGAAAACTGTGACACGATAGTTTTATATATAAGATTATATAAAGAAAGTTTGTGAGTGTGGATGGATGGATGTTTGTTACTCTTTCACGTAAAAACTACTGAATGGTTTTTAATGAAACTTTACAATAATGTAGCATAGCCTATAAATTTCAAATGAAACCGAGGGCACAGCTAGTGAATAGAATAGAATAGAAAATCCTTTATTCAAATAAACTTCATTTAAGCACTTTTGTAGCCTATTGTAGTTCATTTAAGCCTTATAGTCATAACATTTTAAACTACCGCTAATTCGAAAAGATATCTCATCACACATTTAAGGAATCAAATATCCTCACCGTTGCTTCTCAATACATTTATGAAAATATCGTCTATGCCAGAAATTCCTTCTTAGACAGTTTCAAAAGAGTTAGTGATTGCACTAATAAAAGCTTACGTAACAACAACAAACTGATTTTACCTAAATGTCGTTTGGCTAAAGTTAGTAATTCGTTTTATGGCAATTGCGTAAGGTTTTACAATAAAATACCAGAGTCTGTTATAAATCTGCCAGAAAAAAGATTTAAATGTCAAATAAAACAGTTCCTTTGCAAAAAAGCTTACTGTAAAATTGAAGAATTCGTTAACGATAATAATGTTTTTATAGAAAAACTTTAAATCTATAGCACTGACAATATTATCTGATTACATTAATAATGAGTGTGTAGCGACTTCTATGTTGATTGTCGCATGCCTCTTACTTGTTATACTGTAATTATTTATATAAAAAAAATCTATTAAAAAAAGCAACACACAAGTTTCTTGCTCATTCTTCTTGTGATGAATCTGCATTCCGAATGAGTGGTAGAATCAAAATATGACTATTCAAAAGTGCTTGTAATGAGTTTATTTGAATAAAGATTATTTCTATTTCTATTTCACAAGAAGAATGAGCAAGAAACTTGTGTGTGATATTTTTTTTTTCTCTTTCCATCTCCCATCAGCCTTATGGCTATAATCAGATATATTGATTTTTTTTGGGACACTTCGTCCATTGAAGTGAATACCTTTTATTGTATATAAGTACTTATATTTTGGCCAGACGCGTGTGATAATTTAAATTATCTATTTCAGGTAATAGCGGCGCCAAATCAAGACAGACTTTGCTTAGCAGTCGCAAAACAGCTGGAGATCGGTTTCGGCGGGTGGCGACCACCAAATCTACACAAATAAATACTTATACTTAATTATAAGCGTACTATATCAACAATCACATGTATGACGTGGTTGCTTTTCTACTGGGAACTTAGAGTTTAGGTTGTCTCGCTCTAAACTGAAGTTTTTATGTCAATATTAAATCACAATTAGACCAATTTAATTGGTGATATGTATATTCTATTTCTTGGAGCTAGAGAAAGTCAAGAAGGGACACGTACAAGGAAATTGTTGATTTTATTCTGATATATGATAGTTAACTGTTCTATAAACTCATTGTAGGTATTTTTTATATATATATTGATATATGGTAAAGACATTGTATGAGATATACTTATTAAATTAGATTCTTTCACTATTTACCTTAATCATCATATTCAAATCTTATAGACATCGAATCGTCTACAAGATTTGAAATTGAATATACGATTTTTACCAATTAATAATTTTCAATGATAACTATTTTTAATAGGTAATATTTTGATTTATTAATAATGTTTTTGTAATGGTTACAATTGTAAAGTAAAAACTGTAAAATGTAAATGCAAGTATATTTATTTTTTATGACCGTTGTTAAATTCCGTGTTTTGTTCTAGATAGTGACTTCTCCCTCTTGACTTTTATCTTGCTTTGAGTTCTAATTGTAAGTCTATTAGTGTAAGTTCGGGGAATCTATCTCATACGAGTTCATGCGGTTTGCATTGGTTCGGTCAGAGACTGCACAATGTAGTAATTGTTAACATCTCAGCATTTATTTATCCACTTACTATATCTTATACTGTGTGGTAAATACCTAAGGTAGCCATAGGTACTGCAGACCAAACATTTTTTATAGTCTTCAATGCGATGTTCGACCCAAAATTAAGCGAGCGGGTTAATTTAGTTAGAATGTTTTGTAGAAACTCATATCAAAACAAATCAATATATTTTTATTCATCTGTTATATGTAAGTACAGAGACACACTTCAATACTTCACTTATTCGTGAATTTTAATTATATATTTTACTCAGTAATTAACACTATGAGTATATAAAATATATAGTCACTGGTTGGGTTAAAATCGCAATGTGACATAACTTTGTCAAAATATATATATACTTTTAATGGAGGTCGGTTATATTATGAAATAAATCAAAACAAATATTTTATATAGAGAAAATTTCCAACTCAAAAGATACTTAACATATTTTTACTATTATTATTTCACATGTAGAAAGCCTTGTAGAAAGCATTCAACCTTGGAGATCCCTGCGTTAATTGTATACGTGCGAAGTCACGGTGAGTTGCTAGTCAATTTATGAAGCTATTGATACATTCTCGACATCATTACAATGTTTGATAATATCTGTACAGTGAGACAATTTTTCGTTTCTATACTGTATTTATCTTCAAAATAGTAAATAATTTTGATATCCCCCTAAAATGATTTATTCGCAGGGAGTAAGATAATTATAGATGTGTAAAATACTGATGTATACATGTTATTTATATAAGAATATAAAATAATAATTGATGTGAATAAATTCTCGTGTAATTTTCATATTTATTTCATCTCGTCATGAGGTTTTATCTGACTATAACAGGTACAAAAGCGAGTTATAGTCCAAGTAACATAACTGTTAAGTAAAGCAAAGTACATCGAAGTTGCGTGCAAATTCAATGGGATTTACATTCAATTAAACTTTTACCGAATTATCTAGATTACCATTAAAATAAAATTATGAACAGCTACTAAAAATAAATAATATAGTCAGTGAATATCGACACACAGAGGCAGAGACATATTAATCTACAATTTAGTCAATAGTTTACCGCCAAAATATCTGTCATATTTTTTTATTTTTATTTGACTAGAGCGGCAAGCGCTTTTAATATAAGATAAAAAAATAATTATAAGTAAAAATATTATAACAGGCAAAAACATAATATGCCTGAGATTAAAAAGTTTAGAAAGTACATAACTTCAAACTGGATGTTTATTACAGGATAAATGGGATAACACAAGTGTTGGTGTTTACTGTAAATAGTTCTAGATAATATATCGTCAGATATTAATGTACACAATGTATTTTAAGTAAGTGCCCAAATAATGATAAATCATTAATTTTTGAAATGTGATGTGGGAAAATTAATTCTATTTTCTATGTATTTAATTGTACTTCGAACTTCTTTTTCGTTCTAAAGTGCTGTGAAAATATAGAAGTTTTGGATGATTGTATTACATGACACTATGAAATTATTCTGTAGAAATTATTTGTATACATGCTGTTCAATATGTAATTTTGTTATAATGACAAATAAACGCCGCGTCGGATTTACTTGTTTATTTATATAAAACTTAATGACTGTATCAATGAATTCCCTGAAAACCATAGTGGTTAATTCCTGGTGAATTGGCCACTATAGGCTAAATGACCTGGCTTTAACCTCATCCCGCTAAATTCTACTGGTAATCTCCCATTATATACCGCTATTCAGGTAGTCGAAGGCCGTCATGCTCACCAAACAACTCAAAGGTCGCCATTTGAGGACATGCAGAGATACTAAAGTAAAGACGGGATATACATAGATCTCAAAAGCAGAGCTGATATCTAGATTAGTAACTATTTCCCTGTTGATAGAAAATACTAAAGAGTACAATAATCTTAATAATATTATAAACGCAAAAGTTTGTAGGTTTGGATGTTTGTTACTCTCACAAAAACTACTGAACGGATTTTGATGAAACTTTACAGTAATAAAGCTTATACATCAGAATAACACAGGCTATAAGTTTCACGGGGGTGAAACCACGGGCATAGCTAGTTGTATAATATAATCTGAATAAATGTTAAAGAAAGGCGAAGGAGCGAAGATGTGATGAGTAAATGTCGTAACATACTTTAAAATTTACATTTTATGAATAAATCGTGCGCTATAATTGTCTATGATGTCAATTCATATTTCATAATATGAAGCAATATTAACTTCAATTAACATTTAATTACGTCACCGGTTTTAGATCACTCGTACATTTAATAATAATAAAAAAAAATTTAATACCGATTTTAAGAGTTTTAATGCGAAATCGTATTTTCTCAATTCTTTTAAATAATGCTATCTTCATATTAATATCTAATAGAGACGTAGTGAATACTTGCTCAGGTACATATATGTTATTAGTACGCCTACGACAATTCAAGCAATTTTAATAAAAATAATGCTTTTACATTAACACAATTTAGGAAATAATAGTAAGTTAATTAATAATGTACAAATTATTTTTTTGTTTACCTTGTTTCTGTATTCTGTATTCTGATGTGTATTATTCTTTTGAGTACTATTAACATTATTATACTTAAAAGTACAGTACATTCTTTCTTTTCATTTTATTAAATTTCTTTAAATTAAAAAGAAATCAAATTGATCATATACATTATATAGTCAAAGTGAAAACACGACTTTATTCTTGTTTTACGTGAACCGCACTTTGTTTTTTTTTTAATTCACTTAAAATGGTAACACTGTACAAAAAATAACGACGATCTAGCAAAGCGAGTGTGTGCGACATGACGCGCCGGTGAACTTTTATATAAATTTGACGTAATTTTCTGTGCATATCTTGAAAATAAGGTGATATGATCTATCTCATTGATAATTTTAAGAGTGTTTTGTTAGTGAATTCGATACTATAATACACTGTTGTTGCAGATTTCACAATGGCCGATCAAGTAGATTCAATGTCAGATGCTGAATTGCGGACGAAACTCGCCGAGCATGGGTTCCCTATTATGCCTATAACTGCTTCCACAAGAAAGCTTTTGGTGAAAAAGTTAAAACTCGTCCTAGATAATAAGAGTAAATCTAGAAATAGCGTTGATAGTAAGGCGGAAAGTCGACGCTCGTTGGCGCGATATTCCAGTGGGGAGGAATCTGATGATACTTCTAATAATGTTAAAGACAAAAGGGGTCGTCGCGTGACCACCAGCGGGGCTATGCTGCCGCCAGTTACAAGTAAAACCCGCCGGCCTCCTTCGAAAAAAGAATCGCCGGTTAAACGTGATGCCGATGATAAGTCAGAATCGGAAGATGAGAAAACACCTCTGCGTACACATGAGGAAGTAGAAACTGTAACAACGAAGCGTATCACTAAGACCTATACCAACTCCAATGAACTGGATGACTATGAAACAGGTTCAGACAGCGATGTGGACAGTGACAAAAAGACATCTGTGTTTAGAAGCAATTCAAGGTCAAGTGACTACATATCCAGCACCCATCCTACTAATGATGCGTCAACTAGTCCACCAAAACCATCTATTTTCTCTCGACCGTCCATATCACCAACAGGCTTCACCTCATCACTGACATCTTCTGACCATTTGAATTCAATCCGCAGCAGGCTTGGACTAACATCATCATTTGGTGATAGACCATCGGTGAGCAGTTACACTGATAGACCTTCTGTAAGTAGTTACTCATCAAGCTTTTCAACTACGAATTACCAACCTTCGACATCCACAGTTGATGAAGTGGAATCTCCATATTTAAGTAACTTCACTAGACGTCTGTCTGCACTGAAGGCTGACCCACCAAAACCCACATATTTAGACAGAGACACAAACAATGGAAGCACAATATTGACACCACGTAGATCATACATCACTGGAGTATCAAGATCTGATGCTGTTGACTATAAAACTGCAAATGACAGAAAATTCTTGAAAAATAACCTTGTGTCTCTTGCTTTGGTTGGTTTGGCTATACTTTTTTTTTTTTGCTTATTTTTTATGTATATACTAAAGAGAAATGATATCACATCAGTAGTGGATGACCAGAATAGCATCATCCCATTATGTCAGCTGAATATACCTGGCAACAGGCCAGGCATCAACTGCATACCTAAGGAACAAGTGAGCTATGCAAAAGATCTTCTCAAAGTCATCCACCCTGAACTAACGGCTAGGGCTGCCTCATACAAGTGCAATGTGCCCAATGCTGTGCCTTACTTGACGGAGCGGGAAATACTTGACATTGCAAATGCTAAGGCTGAGACTGTAGATATCAGCCAGTGTCGCACCGACCTTAATAATCTGCAAGTGCTACTCGTAAATAATCCAAGGTGGGGCCTCAGTGTTATTCAGTTAAAAAATCTTTACACTAAAGATGTTGAATTTTCTATTATATCTTCAACTGATGTTGTGGTACAGCAACGCAACAAGGGCAGTGTAGCCCTAACTATCACTGATCCATCCACACCATTCACTTGCTTAATTGTCAACACCTTATACTCAGCGGGGTCCACTGTTATATTAGTCTCGATAGTTTCAATTTTATTGCTCGGACTGCATAGACTGTACAAATATTATGTGGCATATCAGAAAAGAAAGAGTGAGGATATATATTCCATGGTGGAACAAATAATAGATGTTATATCTCAGGAAACTGAGGATAGTGGAGAACCATACATATCTGTAGACCATGTTCGTGACACCTTGATATCACCACAAAATAGAGAGAAAATGGCATCAGTGTGGGATGCTGCAGTTAAGTTTATTCAGAAAAATGAAAGCAGAGTACGCATGGAAGTGCAGTCAGTGGACGGGGAAGACTGCAGAGTTTGGAGATGGATATCCTCCCAGAGCAGTCCCAAACGTAGTGCTGCGTGGCAAGGACAGGCTTTCGAAACCCAGGAGGGCTCCGTGAACAACTTGACCGTGTCCCCAACACCATGCTTGAAAATCCGCTACATGTTTGATAAAAATGATACAAACTCTAATTTGAGGGCTGTAATTCAGGATGCTATTTTGGACAAGTGTGGTGAGGTATGCAACATTCTGCATATCGATATCGAGAGGTCTTCCTGCTGTGTGTATGTGAAGTGTGCGACGCCGACTGACGCGGGCGTGGTGTACCGCAGCCTCCACGGCTGGTGGTACGAGGGCCGGCTCATTACAGTCAAGTACTTACGTTTGGAACGCTACATGCAGAGGTTCCCAAATTCCCCCTCAGTTGGCCCTTACTTGAAGTCGTCTCGTTCTCGACGCGGTTGGGACGAGTAAAGCTGTCAAAATTACTTACAGTTTCGTTACTGTTAATACTGAACAAAATAATAAGTCTTATTCGTTTGCTAATTATTTATTGCAAAATTAAAAGCACTGTAACTAAATGAAATATTTTGGACGAGAAATAATTATAGTTCAGTAGGTACTAATTTTAATTTTTTGTATGGAATGACGGTTCTGTGTTCAAGAGATGAATAAAATTTAATCATCTAAGAGTGATTAATAGACTGTTACATTATGGAGTAAATCCAAATTATTCATCTTCAACAATTTGTTCATAATATTAATTATAAATGTTTTAGCATAATTGATATTTGTAAATTATCAATACAGGTGTAAGTATGTAGTTGATATTTCCAATAGAAATGTTGGTTCTGAAATGGCATATTACATTGTTTATAACTCAGTGTAGTGCATTATAAAATTAATTCCAGTCGAAAATGTCTGAAATACATTCAGCAGTGACACATCATTGTTGTTCTTAAAATGTACGATCTAATGATACCTTAAGTATATTTAAGCTTATTAAGATGTAAGAAAAAGAGCATGGCTAATTTCGCACATTGTCAATTAAAAATGAAAACATTTCCGAAACAGGCATTTATGTTATACCTACCAGATGTGCCTCTTCTAAAATTGTTAATCTTGATCTGATTTGTTCACTAAAGTGAGGCGCTGGTCGTGATCGTCCCTGTCTAGCAGAGCATGATTTTAGATGTTGAATAAAATTCTGCTAATTTCAACTTGTAAATATAACATCACAATAATTCTTTGTAGTTACTTCTTAGACCTATGGCTTATATTTGTTACTGATTTTACTAATGTTTTGGAACAAATTGTTAAAAAAGTAGACGTAAGTAGGTTAAGATTCATAGGATATTTCCAGAGCATACAAAAATTCTGTTTAATTTTTATAAGTGTTTGATAGCACAACGTAATTGTACGAAACATGTGTGTTTTAATTTCTTAAGGTTGACATGTATTTTATTTTATTTCTACTAACTACAGACCTTTAATTTTTAGCTTCATTTTTATGGGTTGATTTTCATTTTTTTAATAAATTGATATAAGTAATAAAGTATTTTTTTTTCTACCATATTGTGATGGCCGTCGTGTTTACAAGAACATGTCGTTGCCTCTATAAGCTTACCAAACGCTAATTGTATACTGGACTTGTAAATAAGTATAAACCCTAAAGTCCCAGTTGCTGTTAATGCTGAGGTTTTAAAGCAATGTAATGGTATAGGATGCAAAAGCAAAAGACCGAGACGGCAAGTCTCTTACTCGTTCTTGTAACGAGACACATTTCGAATGAGCGGTAGATACAAAAAAATACTTCCAAAAGCGCATAAATTTATTTTAATAAGATTTCTATTCTATTTGGGTTCGACTCCCTCACAGTCCAAACATTTGTAATTTATACATATAAATAAAATTGGAGTGTCTGTTTGTAATATTGAAATAACCATTTTTTACTACATGCATATGAATATAAATACGGTTCGTGCACCAAAATAACATTTTTTTACTATTTTTGTCTGTGTTTGTTCCGGCTAATCTCTGAAACGGTTGGACCGATTTTGATGGGACTCTTATTAGCAGATAGCTGATGTAATAAGGAGTACCTTAGGCTATTTTTATTTTAGAAAAATAAAGTTAAATTCCACGCGTACAAAGTCGCGAATACAGCTAGTCATTAATATAACTTTTGTATGGATATTGTTTTCCAAAGAACCATCGGCTATTAAATAAAATGAAACTGCTTTGTTTAAAACTAGACGCTTGGAGATATGTACTAGCTACTCTCGATCTGCTGCAATACCAACAAATATACTAATGTCATTGAATAAAAACAACATAATCACTCTGTACATCTTTATTTTAAAAAGGTCGCAAGTATAAAAATAAAACTACGTGCTAACGCCATTCAGTTTCACGCGTATTGAATTTAGTAACTTATATCATTGACAAATAAACATAGGGGATTCTCTTTTAAATCGGAAACTAATTATGTAACAATATTAATAATAATTCTCTACTATGAGTAGAATTGGTAGGTTAGCGATTTTCTAAGAACCATAAGAGATGCAAATGCGAGCTAATGTTCGCATTGCAACTGTAAAATACATAACTAAAATTGTAGATTTTATTGAGAATAGTTAACAGCATCGTTACAGAATTAGGGACCTAGTATCTATTAATAGTGCATTATTTAGACGATTTTTGTATCAACTTTTATATTTAGTTTCCATACCATATTTTTCATAGAAATATTTTTAAATTCACAATTATTAATAACAAAACAATGACCTATACAACACTATATAAGTATATTAGCCTAGAGGTCTGTAGTACAGGTTTCGACCTAGTTCAGAGTCCAGACTATATATAACTTGAAAATATAAAAATATATATAAAATAGAATAAACAACAAACCACTCGTGCAAATTCGGGCCGGATATAAATCTACGTTTTATAAAGAGGAAATATTACATAATTCGGCATTTTATTTTATTATATATATTTATTGCTCTATATATATTACTATCATATTAATATATATACGATTGGCAAGATCACCTACGACTGATCGTAAAGACCATCTTTCAGCTGATGGTAAGTGATTACCACCGCCCATAAGCACTCGCAACACCAGCGGAAATCCAAGTGCGTTGCCGGCCTTTCAAGAAGAAATAAGCTCTTTTTAAGGTTTCTATATCGTATCGGTATGAAAACACCGTTGCTTGAAGACGTTTCTATAAAGTCTACCGCCATGTATATATATTGTTTTCCGGCTTTGCACGGGTGTTTTTAAGTTGATTTTCTTACATCTGAGATTACAAGACAGAAGTGGAGTTGAGAAGAATAATATTACTTGGTGCTTATAACACTAGAATAGCGGGAGGAAAGGGGAATGTTAGTAATGTGCATTGACGACCATGTACATGCAAGCAATGTACCATGTCATTTTGACCACTATGCGGTTCTCCCTGGAAACCATCACGACACACTCCTGGTAAATTGATCGTGTTGGGCTAACTAACCCGACATCATCATCATCCTTTACTGGTTCCCCACCATCGCTAACAGTTAACGAAGATGGGAGAACCATTTCATTATCATCCATTAAAAATATATATACAAGGACAGAGAAAAGCGGCAGCCCTTTCTAGAATTTTCCGGTTTGATTTTAAGGCGAATTTATTTGAAAATAACACTAGAATAACATGCTTGTTGAGTTGTTTTCTTATGGATGATAATAGAATGGTGTATTCATCTGCTCTAACGATTTACACTAGCTGGACACCAGTGGTAAATAATAGGATGAGCAAGGACAGGTCAGTTAGCCCATCATGCTAAATCCACCATGAATCACAATGGTTTCCAGAGAGTAAACCACATAGTGGTCAACCTGACATGGTACATTGCTAGCAACGGGGTTATCTGTCCATATAACAATACCCTCCCCCTCCTGCAAGTTGAATATGATCAGTAGTCTAAAAGTCGTTGCAGTTCGTGGTAGCATCGCGGAACGCCGGGCAAGTAGAAAGGTTCAAACACGTGGGGGAAGGGAGAATCCCAGCCGGCTACGCGGCTTATAGGGGCCTCCAGATGCAGGAAACACTCTTCCTGTTAAACACATATATATCATTATTATTATTACATAGTATTAAAGAAAGTCTCTATGTATGCTTAAATCTTTAAAGTCACCTAGATACATAATAATAATAATAATAATAATCTCAGGACAATTCACACAGCGCCATCTAGACCCAAGTTAAGCTAGCTAAAGCTTGTGTTATGGGTCCTAAACAACTGATACAAATACATAGATAATTTTTTTTTCGTAAATACATACATATTATACATAGAAAATACCCAGACCGATACAAACAATCATACTCATGACTACAAATGTTTGTGCCGTGCGAGGAATCGAACCCGCGACCATCGGACGGAAAGCGGTGTGCTAGACCGCTAGACCACCGAGGTCATCAAAATAATAATTGCATTTAATAATGTCTAGTAAGACAAATTTAATATTGTGTACTAAGCACTGCTGTGTCTAAACTGTGTCACCCCACCTTACATTTTCCTATTACTATTTAGTATATAAGATCAATATTTCTATGTACATATTGTCAATTTATTATCATCTGTAATATACATCGTCTCGACCAACAACATAGTATCACTCACCCGCAACACTACACAACAGATTTTGAAGCGGTTTTTTAAATAGATAGAGTGATTCAATATGAAGGTTTATATATATATAATATAATACATAAACACCCGTGCGAAGCCGGGGCGAGTAGTTAGTTATATATATAATGTGAATATAGTAGTTTAATACTCAATAAATATTACTATGCTTCATATAAGCAGATTTTGTAAGGGTCTTATTAACATCTCATACTCGGTAATCGTTCATAAATATTTTTTTTTATAATTAATTAATTAATATCTCACAACAATTCACACAGCGCCATCTAGTCCCAGGCTAAGCAGTTTGTATTATGTGTACAAGACAACTGATATAAATACATAGGTATATATTTTTTTGTAAATACATAAAATACATCCAGACTGATATAAACAATCATAGTCTTGAATACAAATGTTTGTATCGTGCAGGAATCGAACCTGTAAACATCAAGAAAGCGTAACAAATATTAACGGTCTCGTTTGTCTAGTAATCTAGTAATTTAACACACGTATATATAACATGTATTTAAAAGAAAAAAATATTTAAGTATTTGTATCAGTTGTCAAGTACCCATAACACAGGCTTTGTTTAACTTGAGACTAGATGGCGCTGTGTAAATTGTCCAGAATTATTTGAGTTTCTTGGTATTATTGTTCATTGTAATCATAATAGTCATTATTGTGTATACCTGCACAGTAGCAGCGATTTCAGCGCCAAAACCTGAAGTTAAGGGCGCTTCATGGGCTATCAAACAGCGGCCGGTTTTCTTAACTGACTGTTAAAGAAAAACAACTGTTATATCTTCATCTATAGATAGATAAATAGATCATTTATTTGAACTTTCAGCACCCATACAACAATCTTAATATTATTATAAACGCGAAAGTTTGTGAGTATGTTTGTTACTCTTTCACGCAAAAACTACTGAACGAATTTTGATGAAATTTTACAGTAATATAGCTTATATATCAGAATAACATATAGGCAAATGTTATATAAATTGGACGAAACACAATGTTAAGGCCAAGTAAGTGTAATGCTGAGGAAGTTGCGCGGGTCATCTAGTATATATATATATATACACATATATATATATATATATATATATATTGAATTTAAATAGATAATTCATTCTCACATTACAAACTGTCTCCTCGTCCCACGGCAATATCGATTGCAGATCTATAACTTCGCAGCGGACGCCCAGCTTCTCTTCGGCCATTTGGGCCACTTCCAGCAGCACGTGGATTTGAGTACCCCATGCTACCAGCGTCACCGCGTCACCTAGCGGAAATAGAAGTGAAATATTTTACTGCTTGTAATTCTGAAATGAGGACCACCCGTAGAAGAAAGAGTGGTTTTGATTGTTGGCTTCGGTGGTCGCAGGTTCGATTCCTCGCAAAGTGCAAACATTTGTTTTATGTGTATATTAGGTAGGTATGGGACACAGTTACTTCGATGTAATACTTTCAAATAATAAACCTGTACAAAAGTCTAACTAAATAACCATTGCTAGCATGTACCATATCAGGTTGACGCGCGGTTCCTCCTGGAAACCATCGTGATAAATTCCTGGTGAAATGGTCACGATGGGCTAATTGACCTGACCTCGTGTTCATCTCATCATCTTCCACTGGGCACCGCCAGCGTAAACCGTTAGCACAATGGGTTCACCATTCCATTATCATCCATAAAAAAGAGACAGAGTAGACACATTACTTATAATTATAGACTATAATTTTATTGAGTCGATTGACACAATGACATAAAATATACAAGCAATACTTTACACATTAAAAAACAGAGTCAATTATAAGTAACGATTAGACTTCTTGTTACTGTTACCACCAGATTTGGTGGTTAAAAATAGCAGGGGGTAGTAATAGATTGCAAGTTCAGAATTTGATAAATTTATATCAACAAACATTTATACCTTCTCTCAAGACTTGTGCTCTGCCCAGTGGGAGCGTATAATCCTCAACTGGCACATCTTCAGTCGCAGACCGGTACAAGATCTTCGGCTCCAGGAATATGCATGGATCCTTTTCTCGTATGCAGGACAGTAAGAGACCCTTGGCTGCAATTGGACCTCGGGGCACCACCACCTAATTGGTATATAAGGTATGTGCTTTTTGTATACCGTATACAGGCTGATTCAAATAGTGACGCGCAATTTTTTAAACATTTCTCGCATTTCGGGATTAGAATAGATAATGTATCGAATACAGATGCGTATGGTGTGGCAATACGGATTTACACGCATTTTTTAGAGAGCACCCCCACCTGCTTGCAGGAAAAAATGTACATGTAAATGTAGACATATAGAACGAGACGTAACGCGCGCATCGCCACCTCGCGAATTCCTGCGTCCTCCGATGCTGCTTCAGCGCCTTTTTATAATATAGCAAAATGGCAGACATCTGTCTACGCTCCATAGACAAAATTATAGACTTATTAGTAATTTATAAATCTTTAACGTGTCTTTGAAAATAAAATAAAACAATTAAAATAATCTGCAATGATATGAAACATGTGTGTTATTACGTGCGATAGAGTGAACACAAAAAATAGTAAAATGCAATCATTTTAGATTTGACGCGTTAGGTTTCCCGCATTAATTCTGAAAGAACGTGTTGTGTAACCCTTCACACAAAGCTCCCTAGTTTTTGTACAAAACCATCTTAGGTAGCGTAGGACAAGGCCTCATATATTTCACCAAGGAGCTTGTTAACTGTATTACTTAATGGGTTTAGTTGTTAGGTCATCAAATTATTATAAAAAAAATACGAGAATGTTAAAATAATAAAGAATTTTACAATTAGAAGGATTGGGCAGAAGGATAGTAATAATAATGTGGACTCTTGACCCCATTGCTAGCAACTCGGTTCTCTCTGGAAACCATCTTGATAAATTCTTGTAGAATTTGTCAAGATGGGCTAACTAATCCGACTTAATACTTATTTAATCATATTCCATTGGTGCTTGGCCAGGGTAAACCGTTAGCGTAGGCAGGATCAAAAAATAGATAGAAAAAATCTGAAGGCTTTTTTGAATCACGTACTCTGAGTCCGGGCACGTGTGCGAACAGTCCCTCTGGTGACTGCGAGTGGTACAGCCCCCCGTGACCCACGGCTCCGCCGGGAGCCCGGACAGTCAGTCCCCCGCACGCGTACTGACCCCCAGAACGATACCGGGCCTTTGCTGCCTCGTTCACTAGCTACACATTTCAAAATGAATTATTAGGTAAATTCTTAACCACACTACACTGTTGAGCTTACACACAAAACAATAATCTTAAAACATTACAAAAATTAAAAAAAAATAGGAGAAATACTTTTACTATTGTTGTATACACAATGTGTATATCATAAGTATATATTACATAAGTAGTTATAGAGGTGGTTGCGTCCGCCTAACTGTGCTACGTTTACATTCAGCCGCTTCCCCTGCCACTCGCGCTGCCTGCAATATTGCAGTGCGACAACTGAGCGAGAGGGCTGAATGTAAAAACACGCTGCCACTCGCGCTGCCAGTCCTTTGACTCGCGCACGTAAAACCGACAATCGAAGGAGCGTCGGGCAGCGCGAGTAGCACACTTGGTGTTTACACTCTCGCGGTACTCACTTCCCTGGCCATTCGGGCTGATTGTAAATTAATAATAATAATAATAAATTTTATGAAGCCACAATCATGTACAGGTATAAATTCATTTTTTATAAACAATATGTTGTGATTGTATGAGCCTGGGAACTGAACTAGGCACGAGGCCTGTATCTCAGTAGACCAGTACTCACCCCTCGGTTGTGCGGTTCTACTTAGATTTACACAGTAAGATTATGGCAATATCTAGTTATCTGTAGTGTCTAACATATTAGGTATAGTAAATATATATATATATGTGTAGTAATGTTGTGAGTGTATGAGTGTATGTGTGCGTGTGTATGTGTTTGTGTGTGTGTGAACCTGTAATGATATGTAGTAAGTATGTTTATGCAAGTAATAGTTTCTCAGTGTCTTGATTTGATTGAAATTGGGCATTAAACAAATAAAGCATTGCGTAACAGATCGTCTTTGTATTTGCTTGTGTCCCCCGTATATAACAACCATATTGTCTATAGTGTATTTCAAATAACAAATTTCTAAATTTGGAAAAAATCACGACTTAACTCAATAAAAATAATTAAAACGAGGTAACATCCAGTGATTTTTCCTCATTGTACGTACGTACAAATAATGACCGCATCAAATTTAAAACAGTATCTTTCTAATTGTGTCCCAATTTCTTTTATTATAATAATAATTTATTTCAGCTTTACTCTGCTTAGCTTGGAACTAGATGGCGCTGTATGAATTGTCCAGGAACATAATTATTGTCGTATTTATGATGGTCGCAGTTTCGAGTCCTCGCACGACGCAAACATTTGTATTACATGTTAAGACTAGTATTCATTATATGTACATAGTATTTATTACATGTTTAGACTAGTATTCACATGTTTCGACTTGTAAATGTAAACTTACAAGGATTATGTAAAAGAGCAACACACAAGTTTCTTGCTCGTTCTTCTTGTGATGAGACAGCTTTCCGAACGAGTGGTAGATAAAAAAACAAATTGTTGACTATTCAAAAGTGCTTAAATTAAGTTTATTTGAACAAATGATTTTCTATTCTAATCTATTCTGTTTATGTAATGATACCTGATCAAAAGCTGGAAATATGTAATCAGCAAACTGTATCTCAGCTATAGCCGTCGCTCCCGCTGTGGCCAGGCCAATGCCGAAGCCTGCAATACCCTGCTCACATAATGGAGTGTTGAACACTCGGTCCTTGCCATATTTCTCCTGAAAATGATAAAATAACAACTATATTTACATAGTTATAGTACACCAAAATACTTAAACTAATTTTCAAGGTTGAGTGAGGTGGAGATTAGTAATGTGTATCAGATAGTGATTCCTTTGCTAATAATGGAATGAGAAACAGAAATGTGCTTTGTCGAGAAATAATTATATTTCAAATATGTAATTATAATAATAATAATATCTCAGGACAATTCACACAGCGCCATCTAGTCTTGTGTTATGGGTACTAGACAACAGATATAAATACATGGATGCATTATTTTTGTAAATAAATACATATTGTACATAGAAAACTCCCAGACCGATATAAACAATCATACTCATGAATACAAATGTTTGTATTGTGCGAGGAATTGAACCCGCGACCATCTGATAGTAAAATGGTATGCTAAACCACTAGACTAGGTTGTCAACTGTCTGTAATGATTATCAACACTCAATTAAAAGAGCAACATGCAAATTTCTTGCCCTTGCCATAACATTCTTCTGATTCAATAAAAAGTAGAATCAACTATTATATGACTATTTAAAGTTATTTTTACTTTTAAGTCATTTTTATTTGTCTTACAGCTATAATCTGATTTCTGTCTGATTCTGAAATGTCTGTTCATAATTTCAAACTAACAGTTCTATATCTAACTAATCAGTAAATTTAATTTTTAAAAATGTCTGTTTGTTCTTGTTAATCTCTGAAATGCTTAGACCAATTTTGATGATAGTTTCACTCGCAGATAGCTAATGTTATAAGGAATAACTTAGATTGCTTTATTTTAGAAATTTTTTACTTTAATTCCCTGCAGGCCAAGTCACAGGAAACAACAGTTATATAATAAAAATATTATATCTACTATGGATTAAAAGACATTTACAAATAAGAATCATGTTTTAATGTGAATTGATGTGAATACTCATCTGGTTACTTATACAGACTACATTCAAGTACCCTATATATATTTAACATTTTTGATAAAAAGCTATTATAGTGAGGGTGACAATAAAATATATTGGTATATGACACTACTATGACAATAATATGATATTGTTGTATACCAATATATGACAAACATATATTGGTATACAACAATATCATATTATGATAAAAGTCTATAAATTATCTAAGAATAAAACAAAACAATAGAAGGAAATAAATATGTATGATTATGCAGCATACCTGCAATCCCAATGCACATCTGAAAACTCCACCAAAAGCTACGTCTTCACCGAACACCACCGCGGTGGGGTCATTCTTTAGGGTGAGGTCCATTGCATTGTTGATGGCTTGCATCATGTTCATTCTTGTTGTATCACCTTTATTAAAATAAATTGTATATATTATATTATAGATAAATTGTAAATATAAGAATATTTGTTAAAAACCAGAAGCTATAACACAAAAAAAAAACAATTTTAACAATTTTCTTGACACACATTTGTGTGTTTATTTTTGCAAGAAATATTAACAAACATCTTTCCTGACAAACTTTCGCATTTATAATATTATTGGAATTTGGAGAAATAAATCAGTTTGAACTGGATTGAACTAAAATAAAAATCAAAACTAAATAGGTAACTATGATGTAAATTTACAGATTTTTGATACTAATTGCCCTACATAAATTATTAATATGTATATTTCACTGAAGTGTATATTTCAAGAAGTTAATTCAAGTACTATATAAATTTATTTTTGTTGCTATATTTATTCTAAATGCATACCAGCATTTGTAGCAGATATCTGCTTTGTTTTGTCGATTTAACTGCCTTTCGTAGGTTTATGTTCTTTTATAAATAAAAATAGAAAATAATAAAATAATTGTAGTTTCTCATTTTAATTATTCATGTGGTTATATTGGTGAAAGTATTGCGTATCTTTCGTGAGATGTTGAAAATTACGCCAGAATTTCATATTAAAACTATAACCTAGATAAAATAAATTTCACAATTTACATACCTTCCACGGGTTTCTCATTGTCAGGGAAGTAAGTAAAGTGCGAACTAAGTCGTTTTGTACCGCAATTTGCATGTTTTATTAATTTTGTAAGTAATATAGACTTTTTTACTAGACTCGACATGTTTATTGTACGACTGAGAAGGGTCAAATGAAGAAGCCGAATGAATTAAATAGTACATCTTATCTGCAATTGTAATTATAGTTTACTTTGATTCTTTAAATATTCACTGATAACAAATACAATGATAAATATTTGGTCACATGTCAAAATCAAAATTTGACAGTATTGAATGACAGCTAAATTTTGGAATGACAAATGCCAAACAAACCAAATGTCACTATTATTATTAGAATGACTGCAGTTCATGGCTGTATGGGTGCAGTTGCCTTTGTCTTTACTTTAAAAAATAAACAAAACCAAAAAAAAATAATTACTGACTATTAACACTACGCACTATTCCTGGAAAAAGGAAGTAAGTGATTTTCACCAACTTTTCAGGAGCTAAAAAAAACTGTCCCATATTTTTTGTATGAGTTCTAGAAATAAGTTTCAAAGAGAAAATCGTAGGTCACAGTTGCCTTCAACTACATGTGCTATTTAATTTAGGAACAGCTTCATGTACTTCCAGATAATCTAAAAAAACACGGTTACTTCTGTATTCCACGAAACACAAAGAACATTTGCAGGGGTAACTACAATTATTGCTTATTAACTGAATATTTAATTCGTATCATGTAATACCTACTTCTTATAGTATATAGTCCATTATGTGCGTGCATGTAAGTCAAAAGTATAAATATAGGGTCAGATTAATTTAGAGAATATGAAAACAAGCAGGGTTATTATTATTTTTTTATTATTTTTAAAGAAATGTTTATTGCCTCCATAATCAGCTTAATCAAAAAATGTTCAAAATAGTGATATTTTTATTAACCTTCATTATCCTCAACTTTGGAATCGGACTCTGTGGTAGCAGATTTAGTACTTAAGCTCTTATAAAAAGTCTGATAGTGTGGTGGTGTGTTATTATCTTTATATAGATTCATCAAGTCTTTATATATATTTTAGGTATCGGTAGCGGCGCATCATACTAATGCCTGATTTCAGAAGGCTCGCTGTGTGCAGCTCTTTTTTTCTCATAACTCTTCCGCTTCTATTTGTCTACAATGATTGGTGTCTCGTCAGCGAATGCGTATTTTATTTGGAATTTCCCCGAACATTGAGGATCTGCCGAAATCTCTTTAATTTTACTCCAACTCGTGTAGTAAATATATTAGGTCCTAACATATGAAATTTGTAAGGGAGTAACTCCCTTACAAAACGCCAATTTTAGTTGATTTTTCAAAATATAATATACCTATTTATTTAATCAAAATATAGTCCATTGCTATTTATGCACTTTTGCCATTTGATAGGTAGTTTTATTGATCCCTTTACTAAAAAACCAATAAGACGGGAATCGATAAATCGGACTTGAATTTTTTCCCTTGCAAGAAATTATTCAAATTTTGAAAGAAAGCAGCAAGATCCGGGAAGTACGGTGGATATATTGGACATTTGAAGCTCTTCTAATTTCGTAACGTTGTCCTGAAGCAGCACGGTGATTGACCAGTCTCGGTTTTAGCAGCTAGCTTTTCCATCATGGTTTGCAATTGCTGACAATACACATCTGCCGTAATCGTCTGACCAGATTTAAGAAAGCTGAAGTGAACAACACAGGCTCTGGTCCACTAAACGCTCACAAGTAACTTTTTTTGAGTTTGAATTATATCTTGGGGCAGGATTTGGTTGATTTGCTAGGATTCAGACATTGCGATGAGTGTTTCCGATTATCGTTCAAGATTCACTTTTCATAACAGGTAATGATTCGATTTAAAATCCCTTCATTATTATGCCGGTTGGCTAATGTAACGTCTACGCACGTTTGTCGATTTGCTCCATTCAATTCATGATCCACCTTTCAAGCTTTTTTCACCTTCCCAATTTGCTTGAAGTGGATTAAAACAGTTTTGTTACTAACACTGCAGCCTGCAGTTAACTCGGACGTGGTTAGCGATGGATCCGCTTCCACATTAGCCTTTAATTCTTCATTATCAACCTTGGACTCTGGCTGCTCACGGGGCTTGTTTTGCAGATCGAAATTTCCAGAACGAAAACATTGAAACCGAAAACGCACTGTGTTTTCTTTTGCGACACCATCACCATACACATTATTAATTCTTCGAGTCGTTTCTGCACACTGGTGCCACGACGGAATTCGTACCCTTAAAAAACGGGATATTTTATGTTTTCCATTTTGTAAACTGAGTGACGTAAAGAAAAAACCAAAGATGGAAAAACATATAGATTACGGTTTTCGAAAAACAAATGCATGAGTAAATAACTGTACAAATTTGTAATTTGAATCCTGGCGAAAGAGGAGATATTTGAGATCAAAGTGGCCAGTACGACAAAACACCAATTTCATATGTAAGGACCTAATATTATAGTACCATCTCTCAGAAGTTGGAGTAACATTTTCATAATCTGGGTTTTTCTTAATGCACTATAAGTATAAACGATGAATTTTAGTGCAATTATGCTTTTCATCTAGAATTTATCTTTGTTAGATTGCGGAGATAATGCGATTCTTTATGTATTGGTCTATTAGTATGTTGACCTTGCTGATCAACACAAGTTGAAATTATGATGATTAGTACTTTAATAGTTTTCAGAAATCTTAATCTTAATATAATATTCTAAACGCGAAAGTTTGTAAGTATGGATCTTTGTTGCTCTTTCACGCAAAAACTACTGAATGGATTTTTACGAAACTTTACACTAATATAGCTTATGCATCTGAATAACACAGGATATATTTTTTATTGAAATTTAACGTGGGTGAAACCGCGGGCACAGCTAGTAATTTATAAGAAAGTAACGTTTGCGGGATCAGCTAGTATCTATTATGAGCAGTGGGAATTAATATTGAATATTACTGCTAGCAGTATAAGGTACATTCAGTTCTACGCGGTCCATCTTGGAAACCATCGTAGTTCCATCGTAATTCCTATTAGACCTACAATAAGATTCACTGCCAATTGTATATTCGTTTATCCATATTTAAAATAGAAGTATACTTTTTATCTATTGTTTTTATATACACTTCTATCAATTCGCTCTGCTATGGTAAATGTCTAAAAGCAGATCGATTTTTCTATCATTTATTATTACTATTCCTGGCAAATTCACCTGGTCTCCTGCTCCTCCTGTCATCCATCATTGGTGCGCCGTCAGCTTATACAATTAGCTAAAAATAGTTTATTTTTTACTTAATTTTAATTACATGAACGTATTCTTAATTTTTTTTTCTTGCATGTATTCAAAATTACCCAACATCAGGTATGAAATGTTACGTGTAATAAAGAAGTAACTACAACTACACTTTACGCATTGTGAAATTTTGCTGGGCGGAAAGTATGTAACAATAATCACACATAAACTATCAGCTAAAAGTTTCGTAGAAGAAGTAAGTAATTAGAATTACACAATAGTCCTAGATTGTAAGATATAGTAACAAGTATTTAAGTATATTTACGTTATACATTTTCTTGTAAATCTTCTTTTAAAATTTACGTAAATACAATTATGACTTTATGAGCGGGATAATTGTAAAGCGAATAAATGCAAATATGCATACCTCTATTTTATGCTGGAATTTTATGTTTTCTAAAGTCGCAAAATTTTAGTATTTTTGCATTTATTCCTTCATTTTTGTCGATAGCTTCATGAGATTTTGACAGAAGGTGTAAACCGTGAAGCTCGATTTATTTATATAATAAAACATTTTTGACGCAAGTGTAGTTGCGGCCTTTTTACACGGGATGTCCGACTAGATGATTTCATCTTTTACGTTCATTTCTATCTCCTTTTCACATATCGCAGTTAAACTGGAGAGTAAGTGATAGAAAATATAAATGTTTTTTTTTACAAGCAACTTACAATAATGAATAAGTATAAAGAGTGATGTACGTTTGAACATCGTTTACGGATAAATAATAAGAAATATATCAACTTTTCATTTCGAGTTCCTAATTCCTATTAAACATTTTATTAATCCTTTATTCTGTTACTTTATTTTTATTTCTACATTCTGTGTACGTATCCCTTCAGCTCAACTTGACGCGTGTAGTTTTATTTATGTAACCGGAATTTATCGAACTATTTTACCGAAAACTATAAATATAGCGATTAGTGTGTACAAATGAAAATAGCGTATACAAGAATAATTGTCATATAAACTATAAAATGTCACTCATTTTCGCCGCCAACATTATTAGGCACATGCAACTAGTTCGAAATGGTTTCATTGTATGATTCATTCATAAATAAAATAGTTCGGTAAATTCCGGTTACATAAAACAAAAGTACACGCATCAAGTTAAGCTGAAAGGACTATTGTATTGATACAATCAAAAAGAGACAACTGAATGAAAATCGTTAAAATTCTTGTTTTTTTGTTCCTAATTAATTATTATAAGTACATTTATTAAAAGACGCAAATTTACTGCAGGCGCAATCTTTGTAGAATATAATCTTTAAAAATACAGCCAATATTATGCTGTGATAAAGTAATTTTTCGTAGGTGGTGAAATGATTAAAATCGCTTAGTTTTTTTCCATTACAATGTTTTTGTAATATTTATTTAGTCTCACCTATTTCAGATGTCAAGCAGCTTGCTTATAAGCTGTGGTTCAAGGGTGAGATATGGCAGTAAAATTACTGGGTACGATATGTCACTTAATTCTCCGGTATGCCATAACAAATTGTTATGACTATTCAAAAGTGCTTAAATTAAGTTTATTTGAATAAACTTAATTTAAGCACTTTTCTATTCTAATCTATTCAATTTTTGGACTATTATAGAATTATACCCCCGCCTGCGCTAAAGCTTTATCCTGGAGAATAATAAGATGAGACTGGGTGATAATGGAATGGTTCACCCACCTGCGCTAACGGTATACGCTGGCGGAGCACCGGTGGAGGATGTTAAGATGAGCATGAGGTCAGGTCAGTTAGTCCATCATGACTAATTCACCAGGAACTAATAACGTTTGTTTCCAAGGGGAAAAGCGTTGTGGTCAACATGGCAGTACATTGCTAGCACATTAAATAACATTCCCTAAGCTCTGCTTGCCTTGGAACTGTGTGTATTTTCTAAGTGAATAAAAAAATTGAATTTTATTATGCCTAAACAAAAATT